ATCTTACGGAGCTCTTATATATATAAGAGCTCCTTAAGATTTTTTAAAGGAAGAAGTTTAAGTGATACATTTTTTAAACAACCGCTAATTCAGGTTTACTTGTTTAAGCGTACTGGCTGCAATAGAGAACACATATCTTCCGTTAGGTTCCCCTCCCCTTTGAAAGTATGCTGCCGACAAAAACGCCCCAGTCTTAACCATAATGGCCCATGTTGCTTCCATATTCATGATGACAAAGTGGTTTCATTACCGTGTGCTTTGTTCAGCCAGGCGCGGTCGGACCAGCGCAAGTGAAGTGAATTAAAACAGCAGCTCCAAACAGAGGCAGCCCGCAACACACGATCACCTCGTGGACGGGAGCTTTGCTAAATAAATCTGTAGTGATTCTGTCAGTAGCTAGACTAGACAACAGCGAATGATAGGATTATAAATAAATTGGAAACTATATGGAGGGAAACGTTCTTGGTATAATAGAGGTGCTATCACGGCGTTCACCTGGAGGGACTGAGAAAAACCACAATAATCTCAGACAGGATAGCCGATATATATGCCGAGATTCGAATACAGTACTTCCCGAGAGTTACCGCTGAACTAACCCGCCTGGTAGAATGCTTTTATCCAGTTGATAATGCGGCGTATACACCCATTGCTAAGCTGTGATTGTAAACAGCGGCCGTTCTATACAACGCACGCAACAATAGAACAACGAGGTTATGCAACTCGTTTCTAAACAATGGCTCGGAAAAGACGTTCCCGCGGAAACGAACAAACGCGCAAAAATAGAGGGGCGGTGTTTTATGTGGGTCACGCCGCGACCGTTGCTATGCAACGGCGCGGTAAAGACACCTCAACAATAGAGAGTTTTCCTATTGTTGTTATGGGCGGTTGCCTGGCGATAGCCCGGATAGTGTTGACGTGTCTACCGGCCGTTACCAAGCAACGGCTATACACGCTACAATAACATGGAGAGATCATATTCGTCTCAAGGACAAGTAGGCGGATATTACCTCCCCATCATGTGTAAGTTTTTCTAACTGTTAAAAAGATCGCGCGGGGTGAATGCCACTTCACTACACACTAATGTAGTACGTGTATGTCTAGCCAACAGACATTTTTGGGTAGCTCAGTTCATAAAGGGATGGCCTTCGGGCTGGAAGCCCGGGATTCGATTCACTTGTTTTTCTGAGGGGGTAAAGCGGTCAGCCCGTGAAGCAGACATCTCACCTCAATCTAGTGCTGAGGTTAAGAATGGCAGAGCTCTATCTCCAGTGCCCCATAGATCTTCATGGCGTGGTGCTCATTTAATTAAGTACAGGGACTTTATTTTTACCTTTATACGTACGTATCCTTGCCTTTCATACGGAAGGGTTTCTGAAGAAAATCCAATCAACTTGTAATTTACAATATAAAATATTTTATTATTTTTTTTATTATTGCTAGTGGGGTGGGACTAAGTACCTTGTACTGCGGCCACTTCTGGCCTATTGTACCAGCTCTAAATGATAGGTGTGGGTGATTGTGGAGCAATTGGTGGAATAAAGATTGGCAGGGGAAACCGAAGTACTCGGACAAAACCTGCCCCAGCGTCATTTTGTCCACAACAAATCCCACTTGACCAGACCCGGGATCGAACCCGGACCGCCGTGTTGGGAAGCCAGCGACTAACCGCTTGAGCTATGGCGCGGCCACTTAAACTAATTTAAGTTCGGTTTCTGGCAGTACAATGTAACTTCAAATTTATATGAATCTTGAATTCTACCGTTTTTATCAAAAAAACGGCTCATCGTAGAACTCCATACATTAAATATAATACAGAGTATACGGCTTTTATTAACAGGCCATGGAGGTCCATAGACTTGTGAGACGTCGAGGCCCCCACGTTTTCTAGACAATCGGCTCACAGATGGCGGTGAGGTTGTCAGCTTTACGCGCCGGCCGCCCTTTACCCCCAAGAATATTCCTGGTACTCATTTCTGTTAGAGGTTGAGTTGACCCCAGGGCCATAGTGCGGCTAGAATGATTAGGTCAATCTAAATTTACAACGGCCTCATCGGGAATCGAACTCACGGCCTTCCAGCTTGGAGCATAGTGTTTCTTTATTGTTGAAAAAATACTGTAAATACAAAAAAGGCCTAGGGAATGGCCATCCTGCCTTCTGTAGCACATTCTTATAAATATCTTATTCTATAACAGAGGTCTTCCCACGATTTGTAGCATAGTGCCTCAAGCAAGTACTCTACTGCCATCTGTGAGCAGATTGTCTAAAGAAAATGTGGGAACTTCGACGTCTCACAATCCTATGGGCCTCCACGGCTTGTTTCGGAACTGTGCATATTTAACAAAATAGAAGGACGAAGCTTTATGACTCAAATCAGTGCTTTATACACAGTATGATTAGGCTTTTTATATAAAATACACAAATTCTGAATATCTGAACCATTCAAAAGTGACCTGGTATATTTTCAATATTTACGAGAGAAATTTTCAATATTTACGAGAGGAATTTCTAACTCTTTGTAGCTGTAACCTATGTTTTTTTCTGAGAATTTTAGTGTCTTCATCTGTCAGCTGCAGAACGGTCCCTGCGGGGGGGGGGCGATCTCTAACACCTACCTGTTCCTGCCTTGTGCTTGTGTCGTCCCATGTTTTAAATACGTCGTGGTTTGCTAGCGGAGCATGAAACAACAAAGTTATCCCCTCCCTGAAACTCTCTTAACTTGGTAAGGGTCTCTCCTTGGGGAGGCTGCGATGGATATCTTCGAAAGTTTCTTGCAGTCAGAATAAAGTACAACACCGGGAAACTTTGTAAGGACAGGACACTCTCTCTTCCTGATGTGTCAGCCTTACTGTGCGTCCGTTTGGGTCCAGTGCCACGTTTATATTTTTCAAATGACTGCTGCTTTAACAGCTTGTCTGAAATATATCTGAATTTTTTTATTATTATTATTCTTTTTTACAATCTACATCATTACAGAGTACAAGTAAATGTGTTGTAGGTGGTTAGCCTGCAAGGGAGACATCCTGTGATGTTTCTCCTACAGGTAGTCTATTTCATTGTTTGATGATGTCTTGGGGCCATGTTCTGTTCAGTCTTCTTGTTACCGGACCGTTGGTGTACAGTTCTTCTATTAATTCGTTGTCATGGTTTACAGTTCGGTTTTTGTACCTTTCAGCCATTCTTAGTATTTTATTTTTGACGAAGGGTATCTTTAGGTCGTTATGGAGTGTAAGGTTGCTCACATACCACGGAGCGTCTGCAATTGCCCTTAGCGTTTTTGATTGGAATCTCTGGATGAGATTGACTGTCGACAGCTTTGCACATTCCCAGAGTTGAAGACCATAGGACCAAATAGGTTTCAATATAGCTTTGTATAGAAATATTTTATTAGTCATAGAGAGCTTTGATATTCTTGTCAGCATATCTTTTTCAGATATATTCAAAGTAATTTCTTTCCTCAGAGTAATAACAAAAGTTTCAGGTGCACACAAATCATCATCATTGTCATCATCAACAATAAAGTATGTCTTTGATCCGTTCGGACTCAGAAATCCTCAGTCCTTCTTTCAGGACGACCTATATATGTTCATCAGACAGATTTTATGTTAAAATTCTTTCGCGAATCCAAGTTCGGTCCCACCGCAGATGAGCGTGTTGTGTTCCCTTTATTTTTCTATTCTTTATTTGAGGTTAAAAATTTATATTCCACTGCATATTGCACTGCTGAGAAGAATATTTGGACTGAAGAGAGATGAAGTGACAGGAGGTTTGAGAAAACTGTACAGTGAGGAGCTTCATAACTTGTACTCTTCCCCAAGTATAATTAGAATGATCAAGTCAAGGAGGATGAGGTGATCAGGGCATGTAGCACAAATTGGGAGAAAATTAATACATACAGAATTTTGGCTGGAAAACCGGAAGCAAAGAGAACACTAGGAAGTCCTAGACGTAGGTTGAAGGATAATATTAAATTGACCTTAGAGAAATAGAGTGTGCTGGGATGGACTGCAGTCACCTGGCACAGTATAGGGAACAGTGGAGAGCTCTTGAGAACATGGTAATGAACCTTCGGTTTCCATAATATATTGGGAAATTCTTGAGTAGATGAGCGACTGGCGGCTTCTCGAGAAGGGCTCAGCTTCATGGAGTTAGTTGTCTATTACACTTATTCATTCATTCATGAGTAATCTGTCAGACGACAGGTCCACAGTCTCTTCCAAAACAGTTCATCCACTTAATGCGATCTAGAGCTTTCTCCTTCAAATGAGAATATCCTCTTCTGTCCCCAAGGTCATCCAGCATCTTCTTACGTCTTCTTCCTCGTCTTCTTGTCACTTCTATCCGCCCCTCTATCTTTCCTTCAATAACTGCTTTTAGAAGGCAGTTACTGCGTAAGAAATTACCAATCCAATTAGCTTTCCCTTTTTCTTATTTCGTGTAGGATATTCCTCTGCTCACTGACTCTACACTTATCATCATCATCAGTAATCTGTCAAGACGACAGGTCCACAGTCTCTTTCAAAACAATTCCTCCACTTAATGCGATCTAGAGCTTTCTCCTTCAAATGACAGTATCCTCTTCTGTCCCCAAGGTCATCCAGCATCTTCTTACGTCTTCTTNTTCTGATCTACTGCCCTAAGTGTCCATGTTTCAGCCCCATACACAGCTATGCTCCAAATGTAGCATTTCACTAGTTTTCTACACTTATATACAAGGTAAAAGAATTATGCTCAGAAATACATCTTAAATATATTTACGCTGTTTATTATTTATTCCCATTGCAACTATTTAAATCCCAGTTTGCTCAAAGATACACCAATATAGATATTGTTTTAACTTACCCATACACAACAGGAGATACAAATATCAACATATCAACATGTCAACATATCAACATATCAACATGTCAACATATCAACATATCAACATGTCAACATATCAACATGTCAACATGTCAACATGTCAACATATCAACATATCAACATGTCAACATATCAACATATCAACATGTTGGCTTCATTAAAACAAAACATTATTGAGGTATTCTTTGTTCGTGGGCCACTTCAGTGTCCCCCTTTATCGCAACGTCACGCATTGCTACAGTGACAAAAAGAATTTGATATGGTAAAGCCAGACAGCCACAAAAATCCAGAGCCCTGTACCCCACAGAGATTCGACCAGTAGAATGAAGTGTGTGTTCATGGTCTGTAGGGACCAGTGCCAGGGAAACATCCGGAAGGCCACAGAATGTCCCACGTACATAATGGTGGCGTTCATTCCTGTGAAACAGAGACAAGTACAATCCAAATCTTCGTTTGTAATATTATCATGATTTTATGTAGTGTATATAGACGGGGTTTTGATTAGTAACCGGATTTATTTCACGCTTATACATACAACTCGTAAATACAAGTAACTAGAGCTCAATTGCTAACTCATACACTCTACAACCAGTCGTTGCCTGGTGACGGATCCCAACAATGTAATTTTATTCCTGCTCACAGATGGCGGTGAGGTTGTCAGCCTTACGCGCCGGCCGCGCTATACCCCAGGAAGATTCCTGGTACTAATTTCTGTTAGAGGCCGAGTGGACACCAGGGCCATAGTGCGGCTGGAAGGATTAGCTCAACTGAAACATCTAATGACCTCATTGGGGATCGAACCTGCGACTTTTCGGCTTGCATCATAGTGCCTCAACCAACGACTCTGTCTCGTAATTCAAAGCATAGAAGGTTCTCTTAATAATTATTTTGTCCTTTCTGTTTCCTTAATACACAGTGTTCCTGTCTTACAAGTTACTCATAATTCGTCTTAGCTATTGTATTCTCAGTACCAGAGACATTTTGCGATAAAATTGTTTCCGCTTAATACGAATTTGGTTTTTATGGGAAATATGAATACTGACCTGGATAAAAAAATGGAGCACCACTCCACCAGCCTCTGACGTCAGTGAGCAGGTAGCAGACGGCCAGCAGGTAGAACGCGAAGCATGACGTTGCAAGGACGAAGGAGAGCGACCTGTGAGACAGACACACAGAATCATCAATTGCAGCAGAAGGCAGGAATAGAATCAAGCCTTCTTCCCTTGAAAAGCTGACAGTTACTCATCATACTTTCATTTAGCAAGGAACTTCGTCACATTGTACACATACCGATCAAAATGACCACGTGGTCTAAGACATGAACCGTCTTAACCCGCTCGAACACTGTGGTCGTGGGTTCGAATCCCGCTCAAGGTATGGATGTTTGTCTGCGTTTATTCTGTGTTTGTGTTGTCCTGCGTAGGTAGAGGCCTTGCGTCGGGCTGACCCCCTGTCCAAGGAGTCCTACCGACTGTGTATAGAATTAAGAAACTGAAAAGCGGTCAAGGTCAAAAGGGCTATAGAGCCATAGAGAAAGAAAAAAGTACACTGTCTTGGGCCACTTGAACATCGCACTTTCCCATACACTGTCCGGTGTTGGTACCACAAGTTCGAACTGGAGGGAAGGGGATAGCGGTGCTAAGGTTCGAGATCGGTGACGTTCACCGTGAAGATATTTTGTCACTTGTCCTGTGGAATAATGTATTGTGGCGTATGGCTCCGTTGCTAAGCGGCGACTCTGTAAACAGCAACCGTTTCTGAGTAACGGTTAAGTAAACACTTTCCCGTCGTTATGAAATAGTTGGGTGCAACAGTAGAACTGTGTTTTCTGTGTGGTCCGTGCCGAGTTGTTATACGCAAGCGACAAAATCAGTTCAATAAAGTTCTGCACGGGAGGCTGTGAAGATAGAACTTGAGTGCATGAAGCTGAAGAATCTCCACTGTTAGAAGCCACTACCAGGGAACGGCTGAGAAAGACACAGCAGGCTGTAAAAAGGCTTAATGGGTGCGTTGGTAATTTGTGAATTGTGGAGTTAGCGGCGGGGCTGTAGTTATTTGTACTTAAGAGGCGTATGTATCCAATTCAAACCCCGTCTATAGTCACATACATACATGCGGCGATATTAATTAATACAATAATTTTTGGCGCTCATAAATTACTTCTGATACTATATNTCGCGGGTTCGAATCCCGATGAGGTGTATTTTTTTCGATTTACCTGATCCTCCCAGCCGCACTATGGCCCTGGGGTCGACTCAGCCTCTAACTTCCTACCGTGAACAAGAAACATTTCTTTACGAACATTCTTTGTATTGAGTCCTTCTGCCCACAGAAACGCATGACAGGTCGCTGCTCTTTGGTAGTACACCCCTCAAGCATGGTCGCCATTTTGACTACTAAAATCAACGTCTGAACATGCGCATGCGCGCCTGATACCTAGACTACCATGGACCGTGCTGCTACCTAGTGATATAGAAAACCTATTACAGCCATTGCAGCTGTTTTACTTCCATTTGTGGCATATCCCTCATATGTAACCCGTGTTCTTATGTGCCGTTGTTCTTGTGTAGACTGATCTTGCGATGTCCCACCCGCAGAATCTTACCAGACGCGTGAGACATTTCTTAATTCATCCTGAGAGGCTTACCACAGGTTTTTGTTGACTGGTATCCAGCCTTCCTCCTTGCTGGCTAGGCAGAGTACTCCTGCCAGGACGCCTGCCACAGTGCCCCAGATAATCCATCGGGTCACTCGTCCCTTCCAGTCACGATAGAAGGACAGGGTAGTGCCTGCCTGCACCCCCAAAAACACTTGAAACACCGATAATAGGCACCCTGAAACAGGGTCAAGGATTTTCATGAAATTCGTATCAGAGGGTCAATGGGCTGATTCTCCGTTTGGGAACTTCTAACCACTCCTTTAAAACAGACAACGTAAAGTAAAATCCGGAGGTGCAAGAGGACGAGGAGAAGAACAGAAGGAAGGAAGAAGACAGAAAGGAAGATGGATGTGGTGAGGAGAAAAGAAGAATAAACAGGACAAGAAGATAATGAAGAAAGTCTAGGGAAACTAAAATTAGACGTGAAAAGAAAAGTGAGTGAGGGAAGGAAACGAAAAGAGGAAGAGGAAGATGATGACTTTGAGCTGTATACTGTTGCATACAATGAAGAGGAAGATGATGACTTTGAACTGTATACTGTTGCATACAATGAAGAGGAAGAGGAAGATGATGACTTTGAGCTGTATACTGTTGTATACAACGAAGAGGAAGAGGAAGATAATGACTTTGAGCTGTATACTGTTGCATACAATGAAGAGGAAGATGATGACTTTGAACTGTATACTGTTGCATACAATGAAGAGGAAGAGGAAGATGATGACTTTGAGCTGTATACTGTTGTATACAACGAAGAGGAAGAGGAAGATAATGACTTTGAGCTGTATACTGTTGCATACAATGAAGAGGAAGATGATGCCTTTGAGCTGTATACTGTTGCATACAACGAAGAGGAAGAGGAAGATGATGACTCTGAGCTGTATACTGTTGCATACAATGAAGAGCAAGATGACTTTGAGCTGTATACTGTTGCATACAATAACTGATAAACTTAGAAAGCTGGAAATGCACTCAGCGCAATTACTCTGTGCATACACGTCACACGTTCAGTAGAGGGTCTGCACTTCACAGACGCGGTTCAAGCCATAAGCAGATCTACAGCTGTGGGGTATCAAAAGGGTGAAACTTAAAAATTTGTTTACAGAACTGTACACAGGTGTAGACCGTCGGCTCATTGTGAACTTGGCTATTCATTAAACGCAAATCGGCACCTTTTCCATGATTTAACTCAATCCACAGACCTCATGACACCACAATCACTAAAATTAATGACTCTAGGATGGACAAGGGTTCGATTTCCAGTAAGTTTAGAAAACATTTTATTTTTTCATGACTCCACCTTCTCTGGGACTCACTAAATGTCCTATCCTATGGTTTCTGTTGCTGTGATCACAACATGTGACCGACAACTCAGATCCATCTAATGTCTTTGGTTGGAGATTTACTTCCATATCTCGCATACACCATTTTGTTGTGCTTCGACCTAGTATATAGCGACTAGTTTACCAATCTGCTGGGACCACTGGTATCTTACCCACAATACCCTCCGGGTCGAAAGGCCCAGAACCGTAGACCTCCCGAGCAGTAGGGCGCTTGTATATGTGACTCTCTCCGAGTATCTGGCGGTCCAAATAGCCCGTAGCCCCTCCAATACAGCCCCGAAACTGCCCATTGTCTTGGACACCACCCGGGCCCAGGTATCCCCTGCAGACACAAGCAGAAGAAATGTCATTGCCCATAACCTGTTCTTTCGTTCTGAAGTTCTGACAACATTCCAACTGTTGTAATTTTCGTGTACACATCTTACACGTATTCTCATTAAAACTTGAGGTATCACAAATTATTATTCGCTTGGCTTTTATTGCCAATCTAATCTGTAATTGCTTACGATGGTTTTAATTTATTTCATCATTACAAATTATATTAGTTAGTTATTAGAGAGGGTGGGTTTCCCATGCACTTAGACCTGTCTTGGTCCATTGTGCTTCCCTCTATGATATTCTACCAGTCTCTATATCCTACCGGTACGGGTGCTTACCATCAGTCCCGCCCAGCNTAGCGTAGTCGGTATAGCGACTGGTTACGGACTGGAAGACCGAGGGGTAGGAGTTCGAGTACCAGTAGGGTCAAGAATTTTCTCTTCTCCAATCANTTCTACCAGTCTCTATATCCTACCGGTACGGGTGCTTACCATCAGTCCCGCCCAGCCAGCGAGATCGGCCTCTACTAGCTGAGTATTATCTATAAGCTTCCCCCATCTACCAGAGGTATTAGAGACTACTGTTGGGCGGGAAACGTCCGTAATTTTGCTCAGTGGCCTCCTTTGGAGACATGAAGTTCTTTTACGTGCCGTAAAGCTACGACACGGGGGACCCACGGCTTAAAGTCCCTCACGGAGGACTTGTTCCCTGAATTTTTCCGCCCTTAAAAATTCGACGACCTCCGCCGGGTATTTGAACCCGCGTACTACGAGTCATGAGGTGGGAACGTTGCGTCTAGACTACGGAGACCGCTTTACAAATTATATTAGTAGCAGGGCTAGCGTAGTCGGTATAGCGACTGGTTACGGACTGGAAGACCGAGGGGTAGGAGTTCGAGTACCAGTAGGGTCAAGAATTTTCTCTTCTCCAATCATCCAGACTGGCTCTGGGGTCCATCCAACCTCCTATAAAATGGGTGCCGGGGACTCTTTCCTAGGGGTAAAGCGGCCGGAGCGTGAAGGTGACCACTCAACTCCAACTACTTCCGAGGATATGTCGAGAAATAAAAGTTTTCTTCAGTTTCGAATATCACATATTTTAAGTTTTATATTCATTTGTGACCCATTTATACTGATAGTTCCTCGCAGGTGCAGATGCTGTATTCCCGTTCGAATTCTAAAAATGAATTTATATTTGATTATTTTTTTATTTCCAGTGGGGTGGGACTAAGTCCCTTGTACTGCGGCCACTTCTGGCCTATTGTACCAGCCCCAGATGATAGGTGAGGGTGATTGTGGAGCAATTGGTGGAATGAAGATGGGCAGGGGAAAGCGAAGTACTCGGAGAAAACCTGCCTCAGCGCCACTTTGTTCACCACAAATCCCACTTGATCAGACTCGGGATCGAACCCTGGACGCCGCGGTGGGAAGCCAGCGACTAACCGCTTGAGCTATGGCGAGGCCATTATATTTGATTAAGAAACACTTACTTACTTCACCTATTAATTACTCACTTGGGGCAATCCGGAACGATTAAGTAAAATGTTAGGGCACAATGTCCGGCGACGACGCCTGCCATCACAATCCACTGAGGAAGGAGAACGAGGATGTCTTGAGTGGCTGCAACAAGAGGAACCTGCAATATCAACAGATTGTATTCTTAAATTATTGTCCTTCTTGGTTTATTTAGAATTTCATCCATGTTACCCAGCCATCTGGGTTCTTATTTCAACCTCTGCCTCTGTAGGTAAATGCGACTGCAAAGTGCTTTTAGAAAAGTCCTCCAACACACACGTCACCGTGTGACTGCTAAATTGTTGCTGATCCTCGCCAGCACAGTGATTCTTGGCTCAGAGTCCCACGAGACTCACGACCTGAATTTACTGTTCTCCTTCATATTGCGTACCTATTAGAGAACACCCAAAAAGTAAAAAGTAAAATTAAAGTAAAGCTATCCCTTTACCAGGCCGTGAAGGCCCATAGGGTTGTGAGACGTTGAGGGTCCCACATTATCTAGACAATCGGCTCCAAGATGGCGGTAAGGTTGCCAGCCTTACGCGCCTGCCGCGCTTTACTCCCCAGGAAAATTATTTAATTTCTGGTACTCATTNTTTCTGTTAGAGGTTGAGTCGACCCCAGGACCTAGTGCGGCTGGATGGATTAGGTCAATTGAAAAAATCCAATGACCTCATCGGGACTTGAACCCGTGCCCCAGAGAACACCCAAACTTACACAATTTCCTCCTTACTCTTGCCAGTATGTACTACGCCTATGAAAGTGATGTCCAATTATTTGAGTAGAGTTTTGGATGAATTTTGAATAAACATTTCTTTGAAAACTTGTTTAAATACCACGTACTATATTTCAACCAACTTTCCTTATTAAAAAAATGAAAGCAGACTTATTAGATCACCTTTCTGTCTGTATCTGTGTGCATGTATATCACTCCCCACTCCCTAAACAATTTTTGACGCCTGCATCAAGCTTCATGTATCCTGATATATCGCATATCATTCCACCCCAGACCAGCTCAATGGCGTTATTCTCAAATCCACCCCCATCTCTGAAATTGTTCAAGTTATAAATTTACTATTACTTGAATGTCTCAACCGATCTTCATGAAACTTGGTATTAGAATCATGACATTTGGCATTTTCAGCACAAACGCCTTCATTCTGTAACACAAACATATCTTAGTATCGTTTAATTTACTTCTTTTCGCATATATACTGAAGTGTTTTTTTTATTTGAATCAGATACGCAAATTGTAGTGAAAGGAAGCGATTACTTATTTCCAGAATTTCTTATTCTAATTTTAATCATATTTATTCTTAAAGAAATTTTGATGTTTCGTATTGTAGCGCTTATAGCCGTTGCTCTGCAACGACCGTGAGATGGCGGATATACCATGGTCGTTTCTAGGTAACGGCTCAGTAAACACGTTACCGTTGCTAGGCAGAATATTCTTAATAATGCAACAGTTGGACTACAACAATGGAAGAGCTGTGTTTTCTATGTTGTTTGTGCCGAGATGTTATAAGAATACAGACTTTGACTTTAACAAATGACAGACCCGACCTCTCGTCAGAGAGGGCGCCACAAATGGGCAGGACAGTAACTTTCATATAAGGAAAAAAAAAAGATCTGTTCATGAGCCTCAGCCGGGGCTCGACACCAAAACAGACAGACTGACCGTAAGTCGCAATGTGACTTGGACTAGGCGCCCCAAAATATCAAGACCTAAACTGTCAAGCAGTAATATAAATATCTGGTCATGAGCTCCAGATGGGGCTCGATACCAAGACTTACTGACTGACGGTCCGTCAGTCGCAGTGTGGCTTTGACTCTGATTTGATAGTTCTATACGAAAGTCTGCGAAGAGAGGACTTAAGCCGGAGGCAGAGGAATAACCATTGTTAGAGCAGTTGCCAGGAAACGTCTAGTAACAGGCTGAGAACAGAGTGTGCTATAGTGAACTGTAAATTGCGGAATTAGCGATAGTGTTAGTGTTATTTGTAGTTACGATATATAAGTGGTCAATAAATCCAATATCTAATCTGAAATCCCGTCTATAGTCACTCATGCAAGTGACAGTATATTGTGATAATGGCAAACAAAGAGAGAACATAACATGCGAGAACAGGGTGTCCCTATATATCCCTGATACATCTTCCTAATCCTCTGAGAAGGAACCAAAGCAATATACAAACAGTACACATGAAATAATATATCATATTGCTGTAACATCCGTCCTGAAGTAGAAATCACAGGAACGACAACTGAACGCATCTGAGTAGGTCATGTTATCACATTCTGTGACCTAGATTTTAACTGTGGTTAATGGGGACACTGTGAGAGACCAGAGAGATATCATATCTGCACTTCACTCCACTCCACTCGCTGTTAAGCAAGCCGATGTACATCTTATCCAACCAGCAAGTCTCATCAAATTTGTACCTAATAGTGGCGTTTATAAGTAAAGTCAAGCTATCCCTGTAACAGGCCGTGGAGGCCCATAGGGTTGTGAGACGTCGAGGCTCCAACATTTTCTAGACAATCGGCTCACAGATGGCGGTAAGGTTCTCAGCCTTACGCGCTGGCCGATCTTTACCCACACCAATATTCCTGGTACTCATTTCTGTTGAGTCGACCTCAGGGCCACATTGCGGCTGGAAGGATTAGGTTAATTGAAAAAAAAATCCACCTCGATGGGATTCCATCCCGCGACCTGAGTGTTTTAGAACAGGGTGTTGAGAATATTTGGACTGAAGAGAGATGGAGTGACAGGAGGTAGGAGAAAACTGCATAATGAGGAGCTTCATAACTTGTACTCTTCGTAAATTATAAAAGAATTATCAAGTCAAGGAGGGTGAGATGGGCGTGGCATGTAGCACGAATAGGGAAGAAGAAGACGAAGAAGAATGCTTATAGGATATTGGTGGGAAAGTCAGAAGGAAAGAACCTACTACGAAAAGCAAGACGTAGGTTGGTAGATAATATTAAAAATATATCGTAGAGAAATAGAATGGGGTGGTAGGAATTCGATTAATCTGGCTCAGGATAGGGACCGGTTGAGGGCTCTTGTGAACACGGTAATGAACCTTTGGGTTCCATAAAATGATGAGAAGTTCTTGAGTAGCTGCACAACTGGCGGCTTTTCAAGAAGGGCTCAGCTCGATGAAGTTAGTTAATCTCTTGACTCTAACAACTTTACGTGTTGTAATCTAACCTTGGGCGTCCTGTAGGTGCGACACGTGAGGAAAATGGAGAGCGTCGCGACAAAGAAGTAGACGATTCCGAATCTCTGAAGAACACCAAACAGCCTCAAGTTCTGCAACTTCGGACCCCACGAGGAATTTAGCACCAGCCCCAACAGGAATAAGATGCAGCCTCTCTGGGAAAGAGAGCACAGATGTGTCAGGAATATTCTAATTTATTTCAAGAAACAAATTATTTGACGATGTCCAGAAGTGAACTAAACTGAACTTTTAGTTCCTGAGGCAAGCCAATAAAATGGCAAAAATCGAAAAATGTACAGCGATGGAAGTTCTAATGAGTGAGTACCTATAGAAAAGAACTTGATTTGGGTATATCTTTTTAAGGTCATAGAATAATGTGTTACAAATGCCATGTAGTTAGTTAGTTAGTTAGTTAGTTATTAGAGAGGGTGGGTTTCCCCATGCACTTAGACCTGTAGTGGTCCATTGTGCTTCCCTCTATGATTTCTAACAGTCTCTATATCCTACCGGTATTGGTGCTTACCATCAGTACCACCCAGCCAGCGAGACCGGCTCTACTGGCTGAGAGGTACCTATAATGCTTCCCCCATCTACCGGAGGTATTAGTGACTGCTGTTGGGCGGGAAACGTCCGCAATTTTGGCTCACTGACCTCATTTGGAGACATGAGGTTCTTTTACGTGCCGTAAAGCTACGACACGGGACCCAAGGCTGAAAGTCCCTCCCGGAGGACTTGTTCCCTGAATTTTTCCGCCCTTAAAAATTCGACGACCTCCGCCGTGTATTTGAACCCGCGTACTACGAGTCATGAGGTGGGAACGTTACCTCTAGACTACGGAGGCCGCTAAATGCTACGTAACTGGTGACGTAAGCTGAGAGTTACACTGGAAATGAGTCACTAAAAAGAAGGAGTCGCATGTAAACGTAGGATATCCATATTGTCTACAGGACACGTGAAGTTCTTTACTTACCATAGAAATTGTGAATGACATGATTGGGCGTAAATAATTTATTTCAAACTTCCTTCACACATTACAACATCTAAAATAAAAGCGCTCAGGGTAAATGTACACTGGACTCTATATATATAAAAATAATTTTTACTTCCATAAGAATATTACAGAAACCATTTCTGAGTCAATCCTCGAAGTTTAAGTGTCGGATTGCAGCCCACAGTTTGAGATCATGTAAGGAACTCACCCGAAATGCGCCGAAAAACATCGTGTGGCGAGGGACGTTCCGCTTGAGCTGTGACTTCACAGAAATTGGGATGCAAACCCCCATGATCCACATGAACCTAGATATCAAATAAATAAGTAAATAAATTTATAAATAAAGTAAATTATACAATTTATTTTATATAAACACCGTCACTCTATCTCACTCCTGAACCATGTGATTAACTGTCTGTAGTTTAATATTGAATGAGTTATCTCTAATTGTGTCAGAAACGGTTGGACCAGGGAGGTATGCTATGTTAGGTCTGCCATGGCTCACACTGGTCAGTCACTAGAGATTGGTTGCCTGTTACACATAATTCAAGCATTTATTAAGAGATTACAAAATTATGTAAAATATTTGCCAACAATTCTGACTTATACGGGAAGGTTCATACATTTGTTGATCAGTTCACGGCTCTGCGCTTCACGGCGACTGATTCACCGCCGGCTGCAAGGCGCATACGAACTTTTCCGATTAATTAGTATGCATGTTGCCCGAGAATGTTAAGAATCCCTTACGTTTATTAAAAAAAAATTGTAAATTATCTGTCTCCTAGAAACTCTTTCACCACAAAATTTATGCAGAAATTTTCGCCTACGCAGAAGATCCATGTTTGACGTGTCATACAGAAATATACGTTGCTCTAAAGTATACTGCAATAATACGGAATAGACTGCTGACTAATTGTAACTGAGAACAAAAGGCTATTGGAGCTGATACCTGCTGCCCACTGCTGTCATATCGTAAACAAATTTCCGCGCATGAACCGAACTGCTCACCGTGAAACATAATGCCGTCAAGCGTTCCAAGAAACTTAACAACTTCCATTCATTCCAAACATTATCGGCCATCATGCATACTGATTCATCGGCAAAACTCGTATGCGCCTCGAAGCTGGCGGTGAACCGGTCGCCGTGAAGCGCAGAGCCGTGAACCGGCCAATAAAGTTAAGAACCTCTCCGTATATTGAACACAGAGGCGTTTTCATCTTTTACAAAATTCCATTTCTTGTTATGTCGCATAACAACCATTTTTTTAGCTCGTGTATTAAGTTACCACGGGAACAAGAGGTCAGCGAGCTGCAAACCGTTCCAGGTGGCGTGCTCCAGGAACCAGTATCCTCCGGCACCATCGTTGACGAAAATCATCAGAACGATGGCGATTCTGCAGAGGAAAGCATAGGCCGCTGTCAGTTATACCTCGAGTCCACAGAACGTCAACTACAGGTAAAAAAAAATAAAGCTATCCTTGTAACAGGCCGTGGATGTCCGTAGGGTTATGAGAAGTCGAGGTTCCCATATTTTCTAGACAATCGGCTCACAGATGGCAATGAGGTTATCAGCCTTAAGCGCCTGCCACTGTTTGGCCCCAGCAAGATTCTTGGTACTCATTTCTGTTAGAGGTTAGGTCGACCCCAGTGTCATAGTGCGGCTGGAAGGATTAAGTCAATTGAAAAAAATCACTTACTTCATCGGGAACCAAACCCGCGACCTTCCGGCTTGTAGCATAATGTCTCAATCAACTACGCTTCCGCGTGTCCCGTTAATTTCAGTTATTCAGAATATGATTCCATTTTAGGTTCACAGCTTTATGGATTTAATTATAATAATTATTCCTCTCTATTTCACGTTTCTATTACAAAAGGAACTGAATGTTTATTTTATGATATATTCTGAAGATAACTTCTCTCCGTGCTTAAATGTCTGTTAATAGTTTAGGTTGAAGGTTCGAATGTTTCTCTAAAGATATGTGACAATAGTTGATTTATCACTCCGTGGTTTTAGTCCGCAAGCGAACTATACCGACCGAGCGATCGCCGCTTGTCGGCGAAGTTAGTGTCAACTTTAGAGGATAGAGGGTGTCGCGTGGTCAGCGCAACGGATCCCCACGGCCATTAATTTCGGTTTTCTAGACCGGAATCGCTAATTCCTTGAAACATCTCCTCAATTATCCTCACGAGGCTGAGTGGACCCCGTTCCAGACTCACTACTTTTCAGAAAATCCTGTAGTGAACCCGGAACCTCTGGATCTGTAGCCAGGAACGCTGACCACTAGGCCACAGAGGCGGCATAGTGATATATAAAATCTAACATTGTCTAGACAAAGAAAATACAGGCCTACAACATATCAAGGAATTCTTTTACCTGGCATTATTATGTAAAACGAAAAACAAAAGAAAATTAATTCAAACGAAACGTTCCCTCTCTCGACTTCTTCTTATAAGGCTTATTGTATTACCCCCGGAAAGTGTCCAGACACTTCAAACGACGTTTCTGCGTAGTCTGTTGCTGTGATGAAACTTTGCCGTCCGAAAAGGATGCGGACTGCGATCCACTGGTTGGTTCGATGATTCGGTTACGGTGTCTCAGCCACTTCCGGATCCCACTGGACACCAGAGTGCATATCAGCCATATGAGAGCGAGTCCCAGCAAACACACGAGCAACGCTGTAGAACAGAAACGGCTGTGTTCAGATTAATGTGCTGTGGCTTCAGCAGGATGAAGACTCCACGAAAGAAACTTTGGCTCAAGTGAAGAAGAGGGCCAAGTCAGTGTTTCGTGAGTGGCAAACAAAAAGCAAACTCCGTGGCCTGTTGTTCGCAAATGAACTATACCGACCGAGCCACCGCCGTTTGTCGGCGAAGTTAGTACCAACTTTTGCGGATAGAGGGTGTCGCGTGGTCAGCGCAACGGATCCCCACGGCCGTTTATTTCGGTTTTCTAGACCGGAGCCGCTATTTCATTGAAATAGCTCCCAATTTCGTGACAGAGTTTACAAAAACATGTTCATAGCATGCACCATGTATACTTGTGTCAAAATATAAGACAAAATTAAAATAACATTTTTCTGAACATCTACTGGTGGGGACTAATTATAATCTGTGGTGAGACATTTTGGAGAAACGTAATTAGGCGTCTGTAAAGTTTGAATTGTTGTCAGAGTTTCTTTCACTCGCAACAAGAGCAACTAATACATAAGCTAGTACAAACATATTACAAGGTCATAATCCCAGTTTAACAACAATAAAATAAATTAAGATGTGTAAGATATGATCGCAGGAATGCATGTAGGATATTGGTGGGAAAACCAGAAGGAAAGAGACCACTGGGAAGACCAAGGCGTAGGGGGGTGGACAATATTAAAATTGATCTTAGAGAGATAGGATGGGACGGTATGGATTGGATTGATCTGGCTAAGAATAGGGATCAGTGGAGGGCTCTCGTGAACACGGCAACCAACCTTCGGGTTCCATAAAATGCTGGGAAATTCTTGAGTAGCTGCAGAATTGGCGGTTCCTCAAGAAGGGCTCAGCTCCATGAGTATGTAATATATGATCGCAATACACGTGATATTCCTAACAATCAACATTAGCAACGCCAAATCTTTAGGCATATTTCCACACTTTATCGTTGAAACAAAGGTAAACTGGGAACACTGTCACAGGCGATCTAACTCCAGAGAAAACAATTCCTTGCTAGAAACAAAAGACGACTCGCTCGTTCGTGACCTACTACATAACTTACGTTCATCCAACACGTGAAAATTTGTTGCTATGATAACTCGAAATTATGGAATTTCAGAGCTTTTACTTCACCGTTACAAATTGCTCTTTTATAAACAGAAGGACCTGATCTGCAGTTCGGCTACTGCGGAACCATAGACCACTTAATACAGGACCTCTCTTCAACACTTATATGTGCACCCATGTAATTCTAGTAATCAACGTGTTCGTGACTTCGTGACTCGTTACCTCACTCAGAATCGACATAACTGACTACTATCGTAATCTTCGGTGCACGAAACAGTCAAGTTCCAACATTCTACAACAGTGAAAGGCACAGTTGCCCTTGTGCTTAACTAATTAAGCACTAAGTCACGATGGCGTATGGGGGAGTGGACGTATAGATCCACATTTTCTTGACCTCAGCACTACTTAGAGGTGCGTGGTCAGCTTCACGCCCCGGCTGCTTTAACCCCGGGGAAAAAAGTCCCCAGTACCCTTTGGGTAGGAGGCTAGGTGGGCCCCAGAGCTGGTCTGGACGACGTGGAGAATAGAAAATTCTTGATTTAACCGGAACCCGAGCTCCGACCCCTTATGTCGCAGAGCCCGTAACCAGTCGCTATACCGACTGAGCTATCCCGGCTCCCTTTCTATAAGAACATTTTTTTTAAAGAAAACAATCCATATGTAAGATCTAACTTTCTAACAGACCAACTCCTGTTTGGTTTTGACATCCCGTGAAACTCACGTAAGTAAATGTTGACAGGCTCCTTGGCTGTGGTCATTGAGCACAGGACGTCCCCAGATTCGGTTCCACTGATAACGAGGTCATACACACCAAATTCACCGACAGATGGCTCCAGTTCGCATATCACGGAACTGAGGAAGCAAAGTAAATTTGGCATTAAGTAAAATCGGTACAACAAAATATATACGTTTCTCTCTTTTGTGATGTTATGTCCGATTTTTAGGGGATTGAAATGCCCCATAACAACCAAAGAGATTACATATATGACCATTATCTCTATACAGGTTTTTCACGACTTTAGGGAATAACTGCAGGAGGTGATTTCCTAGGTCTTTGTGATCAAAAAAGTTCATATACACATGTGTCCGATTTTGGACGGTTACGGAGTTATGGCCGTTTTTTCATTCCCGTACACGCCCTCGTGTGAACCGCGTCTGTCAGCTGGCAGGTCGCTATTTTTAGCCGGCTACAGACAGAGCGTTCTCGTTATCTCGACACTTGAGAGGTACCTAAGGCGTGGTGGGTTGGTATGTCCGGCGCGGTTCACAACCGAGCGGCAGCCTCTGTTGCGGCCGGCGGTGACATTTTCTAAAATCAGCTTTAAGCACCAATCAATTCAAATTAAAGGTAATTTCACGAAGTTAACTTCACATTCATACTTTAAATGTATCATGTATTGTGCTGGTTTATTATTTTGTTCCGTTTATTATCAGTAATCATTGCCTTCTATTCTGAGTTTAAAACGGTCATAACTCCGTAACCGTCCAAAATCGGACACATGTTTATATGAACTTTTTTGATCACAAAGACCTAGAAAATCACCTCCTGCAGTTATGGCCTAAAGTCGTGAAACACCCTGTATATGTATTAACATAGCCTATGTGATGAAAAAATTACATGTACATAGAAGACATGAGTGCAGTGAAGAACAGATACAGTTACAAAATGAGGAGCTTAATAGCTTGTCGGATATCTTATAGGGTGAAATCAGTTGGGAGACTAAATAAGTAAACCAAAGAATATTATTGAAATGAAGCTTAATTAAGTAGATTGTATGAGAACTGAATTGAGGTGGCTCTTGAACGGGCAATAATCAATGGTGTGGATACTTGGTTAACATCAGAAGCTAAAAGCGAAATATTGTCACTTAGTATGCGCGTGACTATAGACGGGGTTTGGATTGGTGACTTGATTTATTAACCACTTACAGATCGTAACTACAAATAACTGTAGCACTTTCGCTATTTCCACAATTTACAGCTCACTGTTANTAATAACGGGCTCTGGATTTGATGATTGGTTTTATTGGCACTTCGTTACAGTTACCATCAATTATAAGAGCTCATATATTGAACTCCTAAATTACGAATTACGACTCCTGTGTGCAAATGCCTTCAGTGGTGACTGTATTACGGTTGCCCTCTTACATTCAAAGTCACATTGTGACTGACGGCCAATCATCTGAGGCTCATGACCAGATATTTATTACTGTTTGCCAGTTACGGTCTTGTTTTTTGTGGGGCACCCTCTCTGAAGAGAGGACGGGTCTGTTATTTGTACATGCTGCTGGCCCTTGTCAGCGCAGTCTTTCTCGGGTCCGAGTCCCTTTATCCCTTGCTTATAACATCTCATCACTGACCACATAGAAACACCCCGTTTCCATTGTTATAGCCCAACTGTTGTATTATTAAGAATCTGCTACCTAGCAACGGGAACGTGTTTACCGAGCCGTGGAACAGAAACGGTCAGTCACTGTTAGCAGCGGGTCTATACGCCACAATATGTTCAGTTTAACTATTCCTACCTTCTGTTTTGACGTGGAATGACCTCCCTGGAACCATCCAGAAGCAGACGCCATGATGCCCTGTGCTTGGTTTCTATTGTAAGAATGTGGCCCTGGCGGGGAGGAATACTGGTCAGTCGAGAATAGGGACACTGAAAACAGGGACACACAGGGTTAAAATTGTAGAGCCTGGTAATTAGTAACCTCACAGTTGGGGGTTTAGCCTGTTGGAGTAGCGCGGTAATTATGAACTTACGGTTACCAGTATCTTGAATGATAAGGCCATGACATAGTTCAAGCGATTAGTCGCTGGCTTCCCACCTCGGCGGCCCGGGCTCGATCCCGGGGTTTGGTCAAGTGGGATTTTTGGTGGACAAAGTGGCGCTGGGGCCGGTTTCCTTTCAGTACTTCGGTTTCCCCTGCCAATCTTCATTCCACCAAATTTTCCATCATCATAATCACCCGGGGCGGGCTACAATAGGCCAATCAGTGGCCGCCGTGCCGAGTGGACCCAGTTGGACTCCACCGCCCCACTAAGCGAATTAAATAAAAATCTTGAATGTTATATAGTACAGTCCAAGCCTGCTAGTGGAAAACACCTGTTGAAATTCAACGTGCCAGAATTTTATTTGTGTCTTCATCTTCGATACCCATCTTTATTTCCTTTGTTCCTTTCCTAAAATTACTTATTTACGTTCTCTCATGGGCGCTGACGAGGGAGGGGCCAAAGTGGCATCTTCCCCCACGCTGCACATATAAAAAAAAAATTTAAGGAAAAAAGTAATAAACTAAATATTAACAATAAAAATTAAAAGTATTTAAAACTTATTTTTCTGTCTTGAATATTGTAGGGCGACCTGTAAAAATAGCACTGAACGGCTTTAACGTAAATCTGTAAGAAAATTTTCTGGCTACCTTCTCCCCCCCCTCATACCCTCTCCCACCTGAAAATAGTCCTGGAGTCCTATGCCTCGTTAAAAGAGGGAACAAATTTACATGTTTACCCCTTCAGATGACTCATTTTCAAACACAGTGCTGCCATCTGTGTACGTACGTAGAAACGGCTCGAGAACATGATAAGAAACATATGTAGTCAATCATGAAACACATCATGTTTTATTTATTTTACAGTATTTTCAGTTTCGTCATGCAATATATTGCTTTAGACATAATTATCGTGAAGTTTTAAAGCGAACTTCGTGATTTAGAATCTTGAATGAATGAATGAATGAATGAATGAATGAATGAATGCATAAGGGATGGACAATAATACTCCGGCCCCTGCACTGCGACTTTCAATGATCTATTGTGCTTCCCCCTTTTTGTTTTGTTTAACCCTTTATCAATCCTACAGTTTGGAATCTTACCTTGTAACATTCATCCGAAAGTGTGTAAAGCCATAATGGGCTGTAGAGGAGTGACGTCACATTTACATAAGCTTGATCTACTTTCAAGTTGCTGAGATTCAAACCCCGGAACTCTCGCCAGCCAGGGTCTTCGATCCAAGACATCTTGGATAGATTTCCGTTTCCTGTTAACTGAGATAAACAGTGGTCAGATGAAGACCTCCACAACAAGATAAACATTCTTATCACACTGCTCTCGTTACAAACTCCCAAGATAATACGTTTCTCTTCAGACAGTTCACTTGTCAGGAAAAAAAAAGTTCGTTGCAAGAAACGTTGAGCTTGCTAGAGAATTCGTGACATGCGCTGTCGTGACGTCTACCTCAGCTCGTAATGCGTGTGAAAGGAACACAATTCTACATCCTTCACTCTTACTGCGAGACGGGGAAAAACCTAGTTCACAATGAACCAGCATTTCCGGTGCTAATGGTATAATACATATTATAGTCTTTAGGTTAGGGTATGGTGTGGCCTAGTTAAAGGTTACTAATTTTTCGAAGGAATATAGTCGGTATAGCGACTGGCTACGGGCTGGACGACCGAAGGGTCGGAGTTCGAGTTCGCGTAAGTTCAAGAATTTTCTCTTCTCCAAGTCGTCAAGACCGGCACAGGGGTCCACACAACCTCCTATCCAATGGGTACCTGGGGCTCTTTCCCGGCGTGTAAAGCGGTAAGGGCCTGAAGCTGACCACTCACCTCCAGCTACTGCCGAGGTCAAGAAGATGTGGATCTATACATCCACCCCCCATACGCCTTCATGGAGTAGTGCGTAATTAGTTAAGTACAGGGACAACTTTACCTTTACATTGGTAACCATCTGTCAGACTATTCAGTGTTATAGCCAGGAACACAATAACGTTGTGATGCCATCTTGAAGGCGAGAAGGAAGATTCCTCTGAAACGTCCGTAACAACCCAGAAAACCGCAAATCTCATATAACGATGTAGGGGTTTCCTATAATTCTGCGGGGCACAGTCCTTTAAAAAACTGACAGTCGTTCATCTTTCCCCAAAAAAATACCCCGTATTTTATGGAAACAGAAGGCCTATTATCGTTTTTACAACAGCCTACCGTCATCCCATGTCGCAAGCCAGATGAATCCATTCCACAACCTCACACATTATTTCTTTAAGATAAATTGTAATATTGTCCCGCAGTCTACAAGAGTCGGGATAGCTCAGTCGGTATAGCGACTGGCTATGGGCTGGACGACAGAGAGGTCGGAGTTCGAGTGTCGGTAGGGCAAGAATTTTCTCTTCACGTCGTCCAGACCGGCTCTGGGGTCCACCCAACCTCCTATCCAATGGGTACTGGGGGTAAAGCGGCCAGGGCGTGACGCTGACCACTCACCTCCAAGCAGCGCCTAGGTCAAGAAAATGTGGATCTATATATCCACTCTCCATATGCCTTCGTGGCGTAGTGCTTGATAAGTTAAGCACAGGGACAACTTTACCTTTTTACTAGCAGTCTACGCGTAGGTCTTCCAAGTGGTGTCTTCTCTTCGGGGTTTTACATAGTCCCACCAGAACGCTAATCATACAGACTTCCTCCACCTCGGATCTTACGATTTGTCATTCAGTCTGAAGCAATGTATCCGTGGAGGTGGCGCCGTGTCATGAGGTTAAGAAAATGCAAACTAAAATAAGAGGAATGTGCGAAATAAAATTCCCGTGAATGCCAAACAGCAAGCCACACCTGCAAAATTACTTTCACCCACGGGGCTCGACACAAGCTTGCGCAGTAGCCTCGTTACCTTGTGATCTGCATTTACGAATTCGCTCGAACTGACGTTCACTGACCACGGAATTTAATCGTAGTAACTTGATCGCTTCCTGGGCTATGGCGCCCCGTGCGTAGGATTATTAGTGAATAACAAATTGGAAGGGATGTGAAAGGAAACTGTCAGAGTTCTTGGCTACTGATCCAGAGGTTCCGGGGTTGAATCCCGGCACTACCAGATTTCCTGAGAAGTAGTGGGTCTGGAACGGGATCCACTCAGTCCCGTGAACAAGGAAATAGCGGCTCCGGTCTATACAACCGAGATTAACGGCCGTGGGGTTCCGTTGCGCTGACCACGCGACCCCCTCTATCCGCTAAAGTTGGCACTAACTTCGCCGACAAGCGGCGGTCGCTCGGTTGGTATAGTTCGCTTGGGGACTACAGGCCACGGAGTTTGTTTTAGCGGGCCCCTTCCTTTTCTGTGTTCATCGGAGTTACAGTGCCTGAAGAAGACAGTAAAGAAACCGGAACACGAAGTTGATGTTTATTCACCCTCTAATCAACCGGTCTGATACGCTTGAACTTATTAATGACTTGGATATTAAAGACATCCTAAAATGTTTCGGCAGCTTGTGAAAAATTTTACGTCTGACAAGATTTAGTCATAAGAGACATATCTGACAATGTAAATAACAGGTATTTATGTTAAGACATAAATCGGGATACAGATTACACTAACTCTGTACACTTGTGACTATTATTAACTGATTTTTCAAAACATATGCTCCTTCCCCACCTTGCCGACATCTGTGAGCCGATTGTTTAGAAAATGTGGGAACCTCGACATCTCATAACCCTATGGGCCTCCACGGCCTGTTACAGGGATAACGTTACTTTTTACTTTCCTTATTTATATATATATGCGCCATCCACGTTACAATATTATATATTATAATATAATATATGTAATATAATTATATAATATATTAATAATATATTATTATTTACACATTTACCTTATGAGAGATCTTCTGTCACTTTTCCGTCACATCTGTAACACTGAATTACTTAGAAAGCAAGCTGTCTCCTGCATACCGAGGTCTAATTTAACAATAATTCATTACATTAGCCTATCCAATACACGTGATTTCGTAATACAGGTTATAATGTGTGTTGTACTGCGGAATTTGAAAGGAGACTCAAATGTGGAAATGCTTATTAGTCACAACATAATGTTCATGCACCACGAAAATACCACGCACGAGAACAGCTGTTTGTTTCGCCGAGCTGTTGCACACCTAAGCGACAAAGACGCGTAAGGAGACCTTTCGGAACCAACCTTACTTCACGGCAAGCAACTTGTACAACCGGTTTGCAGTATGCTACACGTTCGTGGCTTTGGCATTTGTGTCGCCACTCTCTGTGTTCCGTGTTCAATTCTCGCAAGTTTCTGTAGTTTGATTGAAAATTGTTGAGACCGCCTCTGTGGCCTAGTAGTCAGAGTTTCTGGCTACAGATCCAGAGGTCCAGGTTCGATTCCCGGCGCTACCAGATTTTCTGAGTAGTGGTGGGTCTGGAACGGGGTCCACTAAGCCTCGTGAGGATAATTTAGGAGCTATTTCAAGGATATAGCGGCTCCGGTCTAGAAAACCGAGATTAACGACCGTGGGGATCTCTTTTTTTATTGCAGAAAAAATATTGTAAATACAAAAAAGGTCTAGGCATTGCCCATCCGGCCTTCTGTAGCACATTCTTATAAATATCTTATTCTATAATAGCGGTCACCTAGAGATTCTTAATATATATCTTAAGTTAAATCTCAGAGTATACTGTTAATAGTCAGTACAATTAGACCGTGGGGATCCGTTGAACTGACCACACGACACCCTCTATCCGCAAAGAGTTGGCACTAACTTCGCCGACAAGCGGCGGTCGCTCGGTCGGTATAGTTCGCTTGCGGAATAAAACCACGGAGTTGTTATTTTGTTTTGTTTATAAGTTGTTTATGTTCTTACTCAAGCACAGCACCGAACAAAGACGTATGTAGGTGTGAAAGGTATAGCTCCACACATTCTTAGCCTCGGCATTACGTGGAGGTGAGTTTTCAACTTCGTGCCCCGGCTGTTTTACCCTTGGGGGGGGGGGAGGAGAAGGAACCTCGATACCGTTTGGATAGGAGGCTGGGTGGGCTGCAGAGCCGCTCTGGACGACATGAGGATGAGAAAAATATGTGTTGCCCGGAATCGACTCCAGATTCTTCGGTCGTCCAGCCCGTAGCCTAATCAGTCTACTGACTGAGGGTCCCAGTATCATACCATGGCGGAGTATCATATTAAAATGTTGCCTTTCAATTATTGGTACTGATTTAGTAAAACAAAACATTAATTCAGTGCACTTCTAATTTGAAGAACGTTAATCAAAATCATTCAGATTATTAAAAATGGAAGTATTTGTACTGTACTTCTTGTATCTGTTACAATGTGAAACAAAAGAGAGAGAGAAAAAAGTGCGATGGCCGGGAATCGAACCCGGATCAACTGCTTGGAAGGCAACTATGCTCACCATTACACCACCATCGCACACGAAGCAAGAGCTTTGTTGCAATTTATTATAAAGTAAATAATGTTACTTACTCTCCAAATATATTTAATTAAAAAATTTGATACGGATCGTTGTTATTGGAATTTCATAGCAAATAACAATATATAATATGGACACTTTACATTAGAGGCTTGTTCGGTCTCGAAATTTGATATCAATTGATTCCACTCGATGTGTACAGTGGTTAGCCTTGCGTCGTTAGAGCGCGTTACAGTACGTGTTAGTTCATGTCGGTGTTTAGTTGTGCTGTTATTGGAAGGTGAGTGTTCTGTTGAGTTAATACAGGTTTAAATTCGTTGAGGTTATTTATGAGTGTTAAAATCAGTTGTATAATGTACATATTTTTCCGATTTCAAAATAAAATGGCCGGCAAATTTACCCTCACAAAATTAAGATTCGTCGTTATAAGAAAGGGGTTTTGTTATTGTGATGGACAATAGAAAAAATTCAGCATTGGAATTCTGGCATAATTTATATAAATAATTTATTGAATTTTCTCACAGCAGTGATCATTATCGAACCTGTGACCCTTCGAAGACTGATCAGTTGTGCTGACGACGGGATCACTCCACTCACAAGGAAAGAAGGTACAAAATAACGAAGACATACTAATTTCCGGAATATTATTTCGATTTTGATAATTTGAAAGAAACCCATCGTGTTGTGTATGTGTGTTTAGAAATATTTTAATTTTGTTGTAATTAAAATCGAGACGTTCAGTGTTATGCTATTAATCTGTTTTCCTGTTTTACACATTTTATTTTGTTAAGGAAATGAGATGCTGATATACCTTCCGCTTTTAATCACATAATTTTAGTGGGTTCTTATGTATAAAAATCACATGGACGTAAATTAAATAAGATATTACTTCATTTTCAGATAGATAATGGCTACTGGAGACACTAACAATAGTAAAGTTGATGCCCTAGATAATGGTGATGCAGGTGATGAAATACTTGCTACTGAAGACTGTAACATTAGTGAAGTGACTGCTACAGGTGTTGGTGATGCAGGTGATGCACTGGGTCAGCCAAAGTGAGTAAATGACACATGAAGTACATATTTGCCACTTAACTGTGGCAATCTTGGTTCTCACAATGTGTCTTACGAATCAGATTGAATTCTTGTTGTAAATCTGACTTGATCGTCTCCGAGACAGTGCTTACTTTCATTGCAAATTCTTGTTATTTTACAAACATGCTCTTTGTGATCTTTGTCTCTTTCATTGTCCTAGATATTTGCTGATCAGTTGTTTGATATACACAGCATGGAGGTATAAAATATTTTCTGTTAATACCGTAAATGTTAATCGTAAAAAAAGAATATTTTAGATAAAAGCATTGAAGTTTAAGGTGATCTGTATATTGTGTTGTGTGCTAATTTCTTATACAGTGAGCCATTTTTGAGAAATTTGATGTATTCAATTAAAAATTCTTGTGTATATTAGTGAGTGGATCATATGGACCAGACTTCAAATTGCCAGAAAAATTCAGTGTTGACCTGCCTTACTGCATTTTATTGAAATTCAGTCAACAGTTTTGAGAATGAAACATGTACGAAAGGCAAAGGATTACTTACACTTAGGGTTCCAGAAATACTTAACCGACCAGCGACTTAACAAAATCCAATCATCAGTTGTGTGGCCGTGTTAATTAAATCACAGACTGCACAATCTGAAGTTTTTACATCATCGTTGGACATGATCTTGAGCAATTCCACCTATTTCCCATCCTCACAGGCTATTCCCCCCAACACTGCTCTTATAGTTAACCTCCCTGTATGCTTCATACAAATATTTCTGTAGGAAGTTTGTAAAAGTTCAGTGTTAGATATTAACTTTATTTCTATTGCTTGCACCCCTTTGTGTATCATGATTTGTAGTACTGGGGCATCACCACAACAAGAGTTTTGAAATACCTACCTACCACTCGGCGCTACAGCCCTGGTGAGCCTTGGCCTCCCTTACAACCAGTCTCCACAACCAATGCATGCTGTCATAGGAATTGACCCAAGGCTGGTTGTTAGGTTTCTGAACAAAATTCTTCTTACAGGATGATGTTGTTAGCCTCATGCCCAAACCCCAACCTGGAGGACCCTTTGACCTTTCTGGCATGGGGGACTCTACCAGTGGTTAAACTACCGCTGGCATAGCTCTCCAGATCACAGGGTCATGCAAGCCCTGTTACAATGACAAGGTGGAGACACCTTTGGGGGGAATGTTTTGAAAATAACTGCTGCATGTTTCCATATTTTGGAACATCCTCAGGCAGTTTCATTAAATATGTCTCACGTTATTGAAATATCCTAATATGGATCTTAGTGTTACAATACAATGCATATAGTTATTACTAAAATTTGTAAAAAAAAGAAAATTAAATTTTTAAAAGTTCTCTCATTGTTATAATGTAAAATTCTGTGTTATTTGTTGTGTATTGTGGGTGATGTTTAACTTCCAGGGTTCACTGTTGTTTTAATATGGTATTGCTACTATTCATATTCATTCATTCATTCATCAGTAATCTCTCAGGTCCATAGTCTCTTCCAAAACATTTCCTCCACTTAATGAGATCTAGAGCTTTCTCCTTCAAATGAAAATATCCTCTTCTGTCCCCAAGGTCATCCAGCATCTTCTTATGTCTTCATCTTCTTGTCACTTATATCCGCCCCTCTATCTTTCCTTCAATATCTTCTTTCAGAAGGCAGTTTCTGCGTAAGATATGACCAATCCAATTAGCCTTCTGTTTTCTTATTTCGTGTAGGATATTCCTCTGCTCACTGACTCTAAATAACACTTCTTCATTTCTCACATAATCGGTCCAACTGATCTTCTCCATCCTTCTCCAACACCACATTTTGAAACTCTCCAGATGCTTCTGATGTATTGCCCTAAGTGTCCATGTTTCAGCCCCATACAAAGCAATGCTCCAAATGTAGCATTTCACTTGTTTCTTCCTCAAATTTAAGTCCAATTTGCTGGTAAAAAGATTCTTCTTCTTGCTAAATGCAGCTTTTGCCATGGCAATCCTAGATTTAATTTCACAAGCACACCTTCCATCATCTGTTAACAAGCTACCCAAATATTTAAAACATTTCACATTCTCCAGTTGTTTTTGGTCTATCTTTATTGCAGTTATATTGATATAAATTTAGTTGGCAATTTGTACGTCTCATTATGTTACTAATCTATAATGTTAGTCATAGTGACACACAGCAGGATACATACAGTAATGACATAATATGAAGCTCAAGTTACATTTTATGTTCATAAGAATTATTAAATTACTTCCATGTGTCATCTATTGATCTTGGTTTTACTCTGAAGCTAGTGACAGTGGTGTTTTCTTTTCAGCTTTCGTCCCAACTGTAGGGTTGCAGTCATGCCTGTTGAAAGGAATTCAGCATATTACAATATGTTTCACAAGAGAAGAGGCAGGGCTGTTATTTTCAACCATGAACACTTTGACATCCCTTCACTCAAACCGCGAAATGGAACAAATGTTGACTGTGGAAAATTGAAGCATGTTCTGGTTGATTTTGGTTTTGAAGTTACAGCGCATAGTAATCTCACTACTAAGGATATCATCAGGATTGTAAAGCAAGGTTAGTTGTGGTAGTCTTCATCAGCCAAATAGTAAAGAATCTTTCTGTATGTAACTAATTCCATGCAGTGAATTGCCATCAGCATCAGGTAGTCAAGAATTCTTGTTATGAAACCCGAAAGTAGGTACTAGTCTCTGTAACAGCCTGTCTTTGTATCCCATCCTAAATCTGTTCATCTCAGTGGACATTTTTATTGTCTGTTTCACTAAGACCTGGCTTAATACAGGGTCCAGCAAGGAAATCTGATGTTTTTAAGTTGGCAGCAATTTAGAAATATTAGGTTTCTCTGCCGGACTCTGTACATTCTCTGATCTGTACTCTGGCCTCCCAGGTGGTCTCTTCCAATGAGGCTTTTGAGCCAAAATCAAAATATAGTTCTAAATAACACAATTTGCTGCACGTCCGACCCATTTGATCATCCTTTATTTAACCCTTTTAGATCAGTTAATCGGTAAAAGTAATGCATAAAGTGTCAGAAAGGATAACATTCATTGTATTTGTGTGTCATGTGTCCCATTTCTGTTATATACAACTGTCTCTTGGTGAAGAGGTGGAAACAGCGTCAGCAGCGGTGGGAAATATGTATTTCGTTTCTGAATAACAAATTAAAATTCAGTTCCGGTCAAAATTCAGAACTTTGCTTGTTGGATCTTGGAGGTTTGCAGTAAATAAAGTAAAATTTCCCGTGTGCTTAACTAATTAAGCACTATGCCAGGAAGGTGTATGGGGCGGGTGGATATATAAACCCACATTTTCTTAACCTTGGCACTAATTTGGGATGAGTGATCAGCTTCACACTTCAGTCGCTTCACTCTTGGGGATTGGATAGGAGGTTGTGTGGGCCCCAGAGCCAGTCTGGATGACATGGAGAAGGGAAAATTCCTGACCCTACCAGGTCTTGAACTCGACCCCTCGGTTGTTCAGCCCGTAGCCAGTCGCTGTACTGATTGCACTATCCTGGTTCCCTGAAGGTTGGTAGCACATGAGTTAATTTCCGCAGCAATTAATATTCTAGTTACTGTACTTAAATTGTAATATTTTCCTTACATTGCAATCTTGGTCTTCCCCATAGCTGCATTCTCAGAGATTTGTGCACTAGAATTCCTCATGATTTTGAACTAGTAACAAGATGTATCTAATTTAATAGAACCGGATCCCTCTCTTTGGCATTCTGTTGCCCCAGAACATGTCCATGTTTTCTGAAGAATAATCAGGAATCACAGGTGGGCAGGTGCTAGTTTCTCACTGCAGAGGCCATGGCTCAATCCCAAATACAATCAGCTCAGACTCTGTGATGAAAGAATGGCACTGGCACCGGGTTTTCTTAATATAATTTGGCTTTTCCCCTTCCAATTATTACTCTGCTGATCTATCACCACCCTGGTGCTATGCAGTATGTTTGAGTAGCTAACACATTATCATTATTATTATTATTATTTGGAAGGGGTGGGTTTCCCCATGCACTGCGACCATTTGTTGATCTATTGTGTGTCCCCCTTTAATTATTCTAACTAGTACTGGTGCTCGGTATCAGCCCCGTTCTGCCAGCGAGGTCGGCCCTCTCTGGCAGTGGTCCCCGATACTTCCCCATGTACTGGAGGAACTGGAAACTACTTGGGTGAGAAACTTTGCCTAATTTTGCTCAGAGGTCTCCTAGAGACACGAGGATCTTTTACATGCCGTAAATCTACGACACGGGACACACGGCTTAAAGTCCCTCCCGGAGGACTTGTTCCCTGAATTTTTCCACCCTTAAAAATTCCACGACCTCTGCTGGGCTTGAACCCGCGTACCTTGAGTCATGAGGTGTCAACATTACCCCTAGACTATGGAGGCCGCTAACAGATTATCATAATGACTGGCCACAGTTGGGTCCTTAACTCTGACCCAGCCAGATTCAAAGTAAAAATAGTTACTGTAAGTTACTTAGAAATGACTGATAGTTTGGAAATATTTCATAATTACAGTAGCATTATTGTTATATTAAGTGCGCGCTGTGCACTTATGTGTGTTCTTCTCCTTCCAGTGGCAGAGGAGGACCACTCTGAGTGTGATTGTTTCCTGATGGCTGTCCTGTCCCATGGTGAAATGGGCTTCATTTACTCACGAGATACACCTTACAAGCCGGAGTCTCTGTGGAAGCCTTTTACTGCTGACAAGTGTCCAACTCTTGCTGGAAAACCAAAATTGTTCTTCTTTCAGGTAAAGTAGTGTTGAAGGTTTTTTTTTTTCAAAATGAAATTGAGACTTTTATGAAACTACATTCTCTTCAACTATTTTTAAATCTTTTTTTTCGCTCCTGCCTTCATGTTAGTAGACATGAAATTCTCTTTTTAGAGAATAAAATGAATACTTTTTTTTTATTAAATTATTATTTAACTAAATGATCTTATATGGAAGTAGTTATGGGTTATCTATTTAATTAATTCTGTTTTTCATCATTGTAAACAGTTTTAAGATGATTCTTTCCAGTAATGCTTGCTTATGGTGCTTGGAGTCATCATTCAGAAGATTTCATGAAGTCCACAGAAGTATAGTCTGTGGGTGTTGTTTACTTGGAAGTCCCGGTGACAGTGTTCGAGGCTTCCCCCCCCCCTCTTCCTCGTGTTTTGTGTTGCATTCCCTTCCATTTCCCTCTGACTTATGTCAGCCAGCCAGCCTGCCTCTGTGGTCTAGTGGTCAGAGTTCCTGGCTACAGATCCGTAGGTCCCGGGTTCGATTCCCGGCGTTACCAGATTTTCTGAGAAGTAGTGGGTCTGGAACGGGGTCCACTTAGCCTCGCAAGGATAATTGAGGAGCTATTTGAATGGAAAAGTAGAGGTTCTGGTCTAGAAAACCAAGATTAACGGCTGTAGGGATCCATTGCACTGACCATGCAACACCCTCTATCTGCTAAATCTGGCATTAACCTCACCAACAAGCAGTGGTCGCTTGGTTTCTATAGTTCGCTTGCGGACTAAAGCCACGGAGTTTTTTTACGTCCGCGAGCCCAAAATGTTTGTCAGCAGAGGTTATCGCTACCAATATTTGTGTGCTCAGATTGGCTTAATGACTGGAAGGGGAAGTGTGGAGGTAGTTGATACATGGGACCACTATTCACATCCTCAGTATAATCTTGTATAATTTCCCAAATCAAAAATTAATAACATACTTTGTTATTTTGTTAAGAACTTGAAGCGAACATATGCACATTATTGTCCCTCGTGACAAAGAAATATATAAATGTTATGTTGTTTATTCTCATTGCTTCTACTGTTATGTGGTTGTTAGGCCTGCCAAGGAGATAAGCTAGATGGTGGCATTACACTGAGGAGCAGAACCGAAGTTGATGGTGACGGTATGGGGTACAAGATTCCCATACACGCTGATTTTCTCATAGCCTATTCCACTATACCAGGTATTTACTATTATTATTATTTGGAGGGGGTGGTTTTCCCCATGCACTGTGACCATTTGTTAATCTATTGTGCGCCCCACTTTAATTATTCTACTAGTCGCCATGCCCTTCCAGTACTGGTGCTTGCTATCAGCCCCGTTCTGCCAGCGAGGTCGCCCCTCTCTGGCAGTCGTCCCCGATACTTCCCCATCTACCGGAGGAATTGGAAAGTGCTTGGGCGGTAAACTTTGCCTAGTTTTGCTCAGAGGTCTCCTAGAGACATGAGGATCTTTTATGTGCTGTAAATCTACGACACGGGACACACGGCTTAAAGTCCCTCCCAGAGGACTTGTTCCATGAATTTTTCCGCCCTTAAAAATTCTATGACCTCCACCGGGTTTGAACCCGTGTTACCCCTAGACTATGGAGGCCGCTAGGTATTTACTAAGTAACTGTCTGTTGTTACTGTTTATATCAGTTCTTCGCATTGATCACCTCTTTCCAGAATGTTCCATGCTTAGCCTTGTTCATCTTCCCGCATATGATGCCTGCAGTAGATCCTATTGTTATATGCTCCAAGAATAAGTTTGTTTTATAGACCTGCCTGCTAAAATCTGCCAAGGATCATTGCAAGGATGATAGTAAGTGTAGTCACATAGAAGAACCCGTAATAATTTCTCAAATAGCAAGGAGGAATATATATCATGTGGAACGTTTCATCATGTATTGAGTGCCGTCTCATATACAGCTCACACTCAAAGTTTTAAAAACAAACTCCGTGGCTTGAGTCTGCAAGCGAACTGTCCTGGGTTCGATTCCCGGCGCTACCACTTTTTGTGAGAAGTAGTGGGTCTGGAACGGGGTCCACTCCACCTCGTGAGGATAATTGAGGAGCTACTTGAATGGAAAAGTAGCGGGTCTGGTCTAGAAAACCGAAATTAACGGCCATGGGGATCCATCGTGCTGACCACGCGACACTCTGTCCACTAAAGTTGGCACTAGCTTCACTGACAAACGGTGGTCACTCGGTCAAAGTTTTAAAATTAAGAGTATGATTTCATTTATGTGCAGCATGTGTTGCAGATTGGTATACGAGGGGGTACCCAAAAGAAACCGAACTTATTTTTTTTTAAACTTATTTATTCAAATTTTAAGCACAAACCTTCAATCCCTTTCAAAGTACTCTCCACTTACACTAATACACTTATCTAGTCTTTTATTCCATTTTTCAAAACATTGTCTAAATTCATCTTTTGAGATGCTTGACAGCGCCTCAGTCGTTTTTTTCCTTCACCTCAGCAACATCAGCAAAACGCTGAAAAAAAGTTTTGATCATTTCGGGACTCTTCTTTCAAAGCACAGCATGCTTCCACGTGACCTTGTTTTTGTTCAGCAGTCAGCAGTCGTGGCACGAATTTTGCAGCCACCCTTTTCATTCCCAAATCTTCTGTCAAAATTCGCCGAACTGAGCTCCAAGTCACTTCCGACAGCTCCACAATTTCTTCAATGGTCCTTCGTCGATCTTTCTTGATGATTTCACGAATTTTTTCAACATTTTCATGTGTTCGGACCATTGCAAAAACAACGATCACACAAAACAGTTGTTACTATAAACTCTGCTGAAACTACTCCTTACCTTCTGAAGCAACGGTAGTCGGCTTATCGACTCAGGAATGTTAGCTCTATGCGCTCATAGCAGCAAAACGCGGTACTACAAAAGCTCTGCCTACAAAAAAATTAGTTCGGTTTCTTTTGGGTACCCCATCGTATGTGTAACATGTAATAATGAGTTGTGTTAATATTTTATGTATCAAATATATTGATGTTGCTTTTAATGCAGTTCTTTCCTCAGACACTGGTATGTCACACTTGATGCCATCTATTGGCAGAAATGTTGTACTAATTGATTAATGAAACAAAGAGATGAGTTCTGCAGCTGTGACAGTCTTATTACAGTTACACAAAGCTGATCTGATCAGTACATGATGTGAAAGGGTTAAGAATCCAGATTTTCTGAGAAGTAGTGTGTCCGGAACAGGGTCCACTCAGGCCCATAAGGATAATTGAGGCGCTGACCACATAACATCCTCTATCTGCTAAATTTGGTACTAACTTTGCTGACAAGCAGCGATTGCTTGGTCGGTATAGTTCACTTACGGACTTAAACCACAGAGTTAACTAATATATTCCACACAAGTTGGACAACTTTTTCTAGGTCTTCCGTGTTTTCATCTTTTCTTTTGAGGACACATTTCCACGTTTTATTTTGTCATGTTGTGTATCATTTTAATTTCTTCACAGGTTTTTACTCGTGGCGCAATACTACCAATGGTTCCTGGTTTATACAGGCTCTGTGTTGTGAACTGGAAGCCAAAGGCACATCAGTTGACATCCTGACACTCCTAACATTTGTTATTCAGCGTGTTGCTCTAGACTTTGAATCAAACACACCGGGTAACTGTACAATGCACCAACAAAAACAAATTCCGTGTGTTACTACAATGCTCACAAGATTACTCTGTTTCAATAAAAAGTAAGTCAATAAGTGACAGTCCTCACAATGCATTTATAAAAGATATGTCCTATTATGCAAAACCTTGTCAATTTGAAGTTTAAGGGTCCACATTATATTTTGTTTTGATTTAAGAACGTTCAGTATCCCCTCTTGAAAAGGAATGTCAGTAACTGCGTTTTTGACAGGGGATGAAATATTGAAATTACTGTGATGGAACATATTTGTAATTAATATTTAAGAAACTGTATTTCATACTTTTTGTTTTGCTCTAAACCACTGATAATCGTTTGTGTGGGTGTCTGTGTGTGATGGTGGGATTCTACATACATAATATGCTCAACAAAACATGATACATGTCTTGGAGAACATGAATTTAACACACGTTCTGCTGGTCTCATATATTGCAGGGATTACTGTTGTCTTCCTTGAGCTGGTCCCAGAGACTTGTGTTAATAATGCACTCAGGTCTTCAACAATTTTTCCGTGACATTTCAGAATGAACTTTATGCAGATGGCATATAAGCTCCCCCTCCCCAAATTTCAAGAAATTTTGGGTAACACTGCCAGTAGAAAGAGAATGTGTCAGCAGGTTATGTATTCCAGGAATAGTTAATTTATAAAATTGAGACAAAGCTGATAATCTTATTAGTGTCTCTCCTCTAAAAATTAGTGTGACTAGATCACTATAGACTGTATGAGAATTACCCCATGTAACACTTTATAAAATGTGTTAATGATGATTCATATTAAAATGACTATTTGAACCATGTAACTATGTAGGAAAATATTTAAGAGTGCAAAATATGCTCATACAGCAGTATCACTGACGAACATTAGGCAAAAATGAATATATGTACATACATACATATCATAGGTACATTTTGGATTATCCTTATTGTAAAGCATAAAATATTCTCTGTTAGTTGGGAAACTAACTTTGCAGTTCACAGTATTGAATATACCTGATATATTGAATTAACAAGATTTTATTGTAGAATTACTACAAACCAAAATATTACACCCCAAACCCAAAATTAAAAAAAAATGAAAAAACAGAAAAAACGTTATTTATGAACATGTAATTTTTTACTTCTAATTAATAATGGAACATTATGTGTAAATCATTAATTGTAGTTCCTGTGTATAGTAGGTACAGATAACAAGAGTATCATTATACAAGCCAAATGATGATGTGATTCAGGATTTTGTTCTTATGAAAAGTTTCAGTAGTATGTTCTCATTTTCTTTATACAGAAGTCTCTGTTCCTAAGAGGTAAAATGCCATAACTTGGCAAGCATAAAAGTTTTCTGTATTAAGATGGTGCTGCTATTCCATTATTGCATTATTCCAAATAAATTGAGTAGTTACTACTTGATGCCACTGTAAGGTTTTTATCATAATTACTAGAAAAGTATCGGAAGCCATCTTGTGGCCCTAGAACTGCTGTGACTACAATATGTGAAAAAAGAAATCCTTATATTTTTCTCTTCTGGTTTTAGAATTCAAAAGTCCTATTGAACATATAAAAATTATGGGCATGTGCAAATGTATACATAAAGTAGTTGTGTATTGCCATATGTAAACATTTCTGAAGAAATATCCCATTGCAATGCAATCAGAATTTCTCAGTATATTGAAAAAATCTCACTAAGTTGTCACAGTGAAATGGGTTGCACTTCTTTGTGTTCATTATGTGTTGGGTTCAAGTGTCGGTCCAGAGACCAACAGTCCTGAGGTTTTTGTTGTTTTCTTTAGCCCTCTGTGTTAAGGCCACGCCATAGCTCAAGCGGTTAGTCGCTGGCTTCCCCCCGCGGTGGCCTGGGTTTGAGCCCAGGTCTGGTCAAGTGGGATTTGTGGTGGACAAAGTGACATTGGGGCAGGTTTTCTTCGAGTACTTCGGTTTCCCCTGCCAATCTTCATTCCACAAAATTCTCCATCATAATCACCAGAGGCAGGTACAATAGGCCAGTCAGTGGCCCACGTGCCAAGGGGACCCAACTGGACTCCACCCCTCACTATGCGAATTAAAAAAAAATTGCCCTCTGTGCTTGTGACGGATTTACTGAGATTGAAATAATGTTTATACATGATGCCTAACAAGACAAAATATCACTATGTCATATTGCATAGTGTGCAGGGCTGAAATTTATGCCCATTTAATGTTTGTAGTATGTGTTCAGGGAACCTCTGAATCATATGAGTATGTGAGTGTGCACCAGCAAACACTGTGATAGTACCTCAGATTTTTCCATGGCCACTTATTCATCTTTTCCCGTTATTTACTAATCATATAATTTTGTACTGTATGACCTGACCCATTGAAACAATCACAAAATAATCAAAGAATAAACAGACATCAACTGAACATGCCTATCAGGTTACTTAATTCATAATGAAATTGATGTGGAAAGTGTTAAAACATTAGTATTTTGTACTGCAAGTTACTAAAATTTGGCTGTAAATGCTGTTATATTAATGGCCAGACTATGAAGAAATATTTAAAGCTGGTAAACAGAAAAAATTATTCTGGTCAAGAAGGTATGAGCATATAATTTATTAAAGGTATATTTTGAGTTTCTGGCATGCATTGGTAATTAAAGACTAACTCATTAGTATAAACCCACAGGATTATAACTCTCTTAAGGAGACCGCACACCGGCATGCATCAACACGGAAGTCATGACATGATGCAAAGAAAGGAGCACAGTGGAAACAAATGAGATTATGAAAACCGCCGCACACCTGTCTGAGTCATGATGTCAGCAGTATATTTCAGTAACATGCTGTAAAAAATACTAATGTTTTAATACTTTTCACATCAATTTCATGATGTCAGCATCATGACTGAGACCAGTGTGTGGCGGTTTTCATAATCTCATTCATTTCCACTGTACTCCTTTCTTTGTGTCATGTCGCAGACCTCATGTCTTGATGCATGCCGGTGTGCGGCCTACCTAAAATTATCCTATGATTCATCAGAGTTCAGTCACATAAACGTTTATTGCTCAGCACAACCAAGAAGTCCCCGAGTTCTAACAGCGCTGTTCACTCACTCATGGAGCTGAGCCATTCTTGAGAAGCTGCCAATTGTGCAGCTACTTAAGAACTTGCCAGCATTTTATGGAACCCGAAGGTTTATGACCATGTTCACAAGAGCCCTTCACTAGTCTCTCCCCTTAGCCAGATCAATCCAGCCTATTCCATACCATCCCATCGTATAAGCTACTTAAGAACTTGCCAGCATTTTATGGAACCCGAAGGTTCATGACCATGTTCACAAGAGCCCTTCACTAGTCTCTCCCCTTAGCCAGATCAATCCAGCCTATTCCATACCATCCCATCGTATAAAATTCATTTTAATATTGTCCACCCACCTATATCTTGGTATTCCCAGTGGCCTCTTTCCTTCTGGCTTTCCCACCAAAATCCTATATGCATTCCTCTTCTCCCCTATTCATGCTACATGCCTTAACTTGATCATTTAAATTATACTTGGAGAAGGGTACAAGTTACGAAACTCCTCATTGGGCAGTTAATGAAGCTGTTACATACCTTAATATTTCAGTCATTTATTTGGTCATCGAAATGATATTCATACATGTGGCCACTAGTTGCTCTCAAGAACCAGTGCTATCAACCTTACAGCCCTTTGCAGAGCCCAGAAATTCCTTTCAGAATAGTTCCCTTTCATGTTCTTGTTTTCTCATAATAAGACAGTTTCTCCATAAAAAGGTGATATAAGAACTGCTTGTTGTTTGGCTTCACTGATGGCCTGTTTTATTGCTGGTATTAGAGTAGTAATGATTTGTACTGTGTTCATAGAAAATGTAATTTCAGCTTAATATTAAATTGGAACTTAAACAGGGTATGATGTGAAGGGGACCAGTGGCAGGGGCTGGGGAACCCAAGAATCAACAGTCAGCTTCCGTCACAGGTACGCCATGCCATGATTACATGAGCAGCTGACACACACAAACACACACACACACAGAGCAAATGTAAATACCATCTTTACAGTAAAGTTTCCAGGATAATTAAATTCTTCCTTTAGGTGATCCCAGAAATTAAAATATTGAAAGATTTGTGTATTTATCTTTCAGAGCAACATTTATAGAGCTGTAAGTTATTTCCTCACCTTTTATGTTGTCCCTATCTCTGGCACAAAGAGAGTAAGAAAGTTATGAAACCAATGGAAATCTTATGCCTCAGGTGGAAAACTTTCTTATACTCGTACTTCTTTATTGAAGTCATTAATGCCATATTACTTTGAATGTAAGACACACTTTTTTCACATTTTTCCCAATGAATAATTGAGTTGCGCCTTAAATTCGAGGAATTATTCACCACTGCCAAGTGTCCATGGTATAGCCTGGCTGCCGTGCTGAGTGGACCTAGTTGGACTCCACCCCTGACTAGGCTTACATCAACAGCCCCAACTATAGGCGTGGCTACACTTTACTGTTCATCAGAATGGGATAGTTCGGGATGGCAGTATTTATTGAAGAACAGTAGTGTGTACTACTCACTCTGTGTCGAATATCACAGGGGCAGGAGTTTGGACTGTGTTTTATCTACAGTGGTAAAGTAGACTTGTGAACCCTTGAGTGGATGAAGTAAAAAAGACACACTTATAATATCAATGACAAGTAATTTAATTTCTTGCGTTTGTACGTACAAGCAAAGATATGCTGTATCTCAAGTTTGTCAGACATGGTGTTAACTCATCTGTGTTCCGTTGCAGTGGTGGAGATATCAACCAACACACATTATCAGAAAAACAGAAGGATATCGAAAAAGGAAATAATTGCTGATCTGATGTCATGCCCATCCTCATAAAAATGTAAGAATTTAGTACCTGAGAGTTTGCCTGCCACAGTATACAGTATGGACGCCATGTCCAATCTAATGCTCACACATTGAAGATGACAAAGAAACATTATATGCCTAAGTATTTTTCAGCCTACACCAGAAGTGAGAAACCTACATTCAGTTTAAACACCTTCAGCATTAGAATAGTTAGTGAATTATTTGAAATTATATGCAGCAACATACATCCCTCTTAAAGAACAGAGTGCTTTACCTGCTAGCAGCAGTTACTGTACCCATAAACTCCGTGGCCTGCAGTCCGCAAGCGAACTATACCGACCAAGCGACCGCTGCTTGTCAGCGAACTTTTGTTGATACAGATGTCACTTGGTCAGTGCCGCGGCTCCCCATGGGCATTAATCTCGGTTTTCTAGACCGGAGCCACTATTTCCTTGAAATAGCTCCTCAGTTATCCTCACGAGGCTGAGCGAACCCTATTCCAAACCACTACTTATCAGAAAATCTGGTAGCACTGGGAATCGAAACCGGGACCTCTGGATCTGTGGCCAGGAACTCTGACCACTAGACCACAGAGGAGGTCTGCTGTACCCATATCAATTTTTAAATATTTTGTGGACAGTCTGTGAAACTGTGTTTTGATTGGGTGATAGCTGTATGAATAATGAATGAATTTCCATTTTAATGGCAGTCTCAGCATCCATCATCAGGGATTAATTGTATGAGTGATGCAGCAATGTGGCCAGTGTATACATGCAGTTGCTCTTGGAATCTGGTGTTCTTGTTGCAAAGGGGCTAGTGGAGAGAACAGAGGGTGGAGTCAGGGGTTGGCTTATATCCAGGGCAACAGTTATCATCCCCTAACGTGCGAAGACTCAGATGTTAGCAAATGTTACTAGTGGCTGCGTGTTTAAGGTGCTGCTTCATTGATGTATCCTGGTAGCCAGGGTCCATGATTAGCATAGACTAAATCATGTATTCCTGTTTAAGTTATTGGGATGTAACAGGACTGGTGGGCATGTACTATGTAGTTGTGGTCAGTAGCGTGGCATGTGTAGTTCTTGACAGTTCTGTGGTATACTGTAGTTCAGTAGTTGTAGTTATTGCTGTGGTATCCTGTAGTTATTTGTATCCAGTACCGCATTATGTTTCAAGATGGTACATGGATGGGACTGTCCCTTGAGACTGGGTTACATCCTGACATCAGAGAAATAGGATTTAGTGTAAGTCTCTCTGAGAACATAGCTACCAGTGTACATCAGCAAAGCGTAACCATT